AAAAAAAGTTGAGCATGATGTTCGTTGGTGACGCTAAAACACGGCGAGTGATTCAAAATGACTCGTAGATGTCTCAGATGACTCGACAAAAATCGTGTGTGAGAATCGTGATTCACACAAGATGTGGAACGATGTCAGAATAGAATATTTCGGCTTATACTCTTAACCATGGAAACATCAAAGATGAAGCAGCAGACGAAGTTTAATCAGCCCAGTAGAAATTGGAGGAAGATGTTATACCAGAGATATTTCATAATTTGAAAGGGGCAGTTTAAGCTCAACAGAAAACTGATGACCTACAATTGGTACTCTAGATAATTAACTATTCATATTGTATGCATAGTGCGTCACAGGCGCTAGCCAAATCTAGCCATGTACAAAACAGTATTTGGATCAGTGTTCAACAACTAAGCTCTTACCACTAATTCACCTCCACCCTCTTATGTGCATGCCAATCTATATCACAGTTATATTTTTTTGTATCCGACATAACCTGCAGCACAAAAAATTAATTTTTTTTTAGTTCAATGGTTAAGGCTGTGCGGACCAACTTATATGTACCTTGACTAATCCTCTTTTCGGTTCGGTCAAAGCTAGACCATCCACGTCGAGACTAAAATATTCACGAGAGATAAATCTCTCATGGTCCTGCCAGTGGGTTCCTAAGATTCGAACTCAAAACGTAGATTGTTTTGTTACAATTTAAACTATCCTTGAAGTTCAAAAAATTTAGGATAAATTACACTCACACCCCTGACATTTAATTTTATTACATGGATACCCTCTCACATTTCAAAAATTACACTAAGACCCCAAATTCAGTCAAATAATGGATGTGGTTAACAAAAGTGAAAAAATGACAATAATATCCTCCATTTCAAGTTGAAAAAAGAAAAAGATAAATTACACTCATTCTCTGACATTTGATTTTTTATTAGACGAACATTGAAAAAAAACTCAAAGCAAATTAAATTACAAATCATACCCTAATTAAATAAATTTAACACCTAAATCAAATTAAACTTAATACTAAAGCAAATTTAGCACCTAATCCAAATTAAAATTAATAATTTAACAAATTTAACACCTAATTCAAATTAAACCTTATGATTTTGTCATTAAATTCAATCTTATCTTTTCGATATTAAGTTAATTTTTTGGTTTTGGTCAATATATTTAATTATTTTGAATTAACAATAATGTTTATCAAATTTCAATGATTATACCAAATTTATCTTACTAAAATTATGCCTTAACACCACCACCACATCCTACAAATGTCTGTCACCACAATCACCAACCACTGTTACCTCACCGTAACTCCCACCACACTAGTTTAACAATCTCAAATGTTACCTCACCGCAACCACCGCCACTCCCACCATCACAAGCCCCCATTGCCAAACCCAAAAATCGAACTCATCTCCTCCAAGGCACAGCTAGCACACTGCATACCTTAGCTATCCACCACTTCCAACCATCGACATCGCACTAGAAGGGATCAATGACTTCGTACCCAACCTTGGCCCTTGGGGGATCAATGGTTTGAAACTTGTAAGTTCTTCTCAATCTACAACCATGGAAACTTTGCGTCTTCCTCTTGCCTCCACTACTTGCAGAAGTTGAAGAAGAATAAGAGTCAACTCTTTCAGGCCAAATCCCCAGTATCAAACCTCTTATCTTTCTAACATCTGAAACCCTTCTCTACCCACAGTTGTACTTATCTGTGGTACGTCATCTACCACTCCAAGTCCACCGATTCTCATACCACCACCACAATGATCATCACCACCATGACCATGACCATCACAACCACCACCACCATCACATTCATGAGGATAATGGTAAGCTAACTGACACATAAGAAACATTAATTTTTTTCAATTTATTTATTTTGACTTAGTCAAATAGAGGGGTGAGTTGGATTAAGGGTGCAACTCGAGTGGGTTCGGCAGGTTAAGAGTTCAACTCTAGGTATTATCTTCAACTCTAACTCTAACTCTAACTCTACCTCAACCTGAATTACTCAACCCAAGTATTACCCGGGTTTAATTCGGGCAGGATTGGATTGCATTTAAGTTACTTAATTTGTGCTATTTTCGGGTTAAAAATTGAGTTGAGCTCAAGTTACTTAATTTGGGTTGATAAAAGAAGGAAAAGTGACGAGTGAGAAAGGGAGATTGAGAGTTTGACACAAGACTCAGACTAGGGAGAGAGGGAGGCTGAGAGTCTGAAACTAGATGAGAGACGAGTGACAAGTGAGAGAGGGATCTGAAAGTAGTGAAGGCGCAGGGATGAAGATTTGAATTGAAGTGAAAGTCTGGACTTTGAAGAGTGAAGATAAATAATAATCCTAATTAAATATATTTATATATTTATGTATATTCGAGTTCAATCCGATTTTAATATTCGGGTTGAACCAGACAACCCGAGGCCTCAATCCGATGCTTGCCCGAATTCAATTCGAGTTGAGGTTTTTCGCCCAAGCTCAACCCAAGTATTAAAAATTCTAATTCACGCCCAATTTTTTGGGATAGGCTCGAGTTGAATTTGGGTTAACCCACCTAAGTTGCACTCCTAAGTTGGATAGATTGGATATGGACATTGATAAATTTCAAGGATATATGAGGTTTAAAAAGTTTTTAATAAAATTGCTAACATCTGTTAGACAACAGGGGTACGATTGTTACACCTGTTCAAATGTCAAGGGGTTTCAGTGTACTTTTTAAAATATGAGAGGATGTATGTGTAATAAAATCAAATGTCATGAGGTGTGAATGTAATCTACCCAAAAATTTATTTGTAGCTAGATTTTGGACAGGAAAATACCTTCTTGTGATTTCTAAGATATTCATACTCCCATTAATTTGGATTTTTTATACTTTTGACCATATGAAAGTCAACATTAGCTTCGAATAAACTTAGAACTCTATTTATACACGCAATCTGACCAAAAAAAAATATATATATATATATATATTATACACGCAAAGAAATTTAAAACACAAAATAAGCCAAAAAGTAAAGCAATAACCAGAGAGGCGTAGCGTATTTATTCTCATTCCAGCTTTTAAATATGATCAAAATCAGTGGACGGCACACAATAAGGAGTAAGGACTGAGTGTGAACAGGGAAGCTGCCGCAAACAACCTACCAAAAATAGATTAATGCAAAATGCTGACAAACAACTTAACAAAATTTGTCCATAATCTGTGTTAAACAAACGCCGTTCGATGATAATGACTTCACATTGTCCCACTAAACAACATATTCAAACACCAAACCAGCTGATAATCTGTACTAGAAAATTTGACAATAAGACAAGAAAAAGCCATAACAAATATTTAATAATCAAACCAACCAAACTGATTATATTGGTGATATAGAGTTAAAATTAAGCATATATTTTAAGCAATTAAAGACCCATAAAGTCAATTTAAACAAGGGTTTGGTGTCCTTTTCCAACCTTAGCTGTTTTTACCCTTTAGTGGCCATTGAATACTTCAAAATCAATCCCAACCCAACAGCTTGAGAGAGAGAGAGAGAGATTTTCCTCAAAGTGTGGTCCCTCAGAAATGAGATAGATCCAAAAGTGGAACCCACTAGAAGATGAGTTCCTCCATCCAAACAAGCCAATTGCTGTCTTTCGCTGCTATCCAGACTCCAAACTACCCACAACGAACAAGCAATCAAGAGCTGACAAGAATTTAATCAAATCAACGTCGACAGATGGCGAGAACCATGTTTCTGACTCTGTCCAATCACTCTTTTGCGAAAATGTTTTTGGTGGATGGGGTTTGGCTTCGGCTTTATGGGTGACCACCGGACTCCACGGTCCACCACGTAACACGCAGCCCAGAAGACGATTAGTACAAGGATTCTTCATCACTTACTTTTTATGCTCAAAGTGGACACACCAGCTGCCATTGAAAAACCAGATCTTTAACGTTTCATAATTCTGAAAGATGGGAATCAAGTCCAATTTAAGTCATATTTACTTTAAATTCGCCTCATATCAAATTTGTATTGAATCGTATAAAAGCCATATTTAAAGGGTTAGTGTAGCCAAATTTGCATACACACATCTAATTTGACATTCACTTGGGCTGCAGCATTGCTGTGTACAGAGAATTGAGACAGAATTGGACTCACTGAGATAATAACAATTTGCCAATACATTCCTCAATATCTAAAGATTTGAAAAAAAAAAAAAGGACATAAGGGCAGAAGGGAAAAGGTTGCGAAAGTGGCCTTGTTATCCACAAATACGGTCGGATGGCTCAAGGACCTATTGACCCAATTTTCCACAAACGTTGGCCGGTTCCGGAGGGCTTACCAGGGACGCTAGTGCAATCACCAGGAAGATCGGGATTTTCCAAAAGACTTTATAAAACTTTCGTCTCAATTCATATTTAACTGCGAGTAATTTGTGTGCTCTCGTATATTTTCGTTTCTCCGACATCTTACTCAATTTTCCCTTCATCTTTTTGCAGTGTTTGATCGTTAGATTTACCGAAGCCCGAGACAGAAAAATATTCTGAGCAACCTCGAGTTTCTTAAAAGGTTATAGCTGCACTATAATTTTTGTTTTACAATATGCAAGTTCAGATGCTGAGAAAATCAATATTAGCAGAAGTAGAAAGAAAAGTCCATTCCATCAGAAAGGAGAGATCCAAGTGAGAAATAACCCAACAAAATCTTTATATATTTTAGAGAAACAGTATAACACACATGATCACAATAGCATTCCTAGCATTGCTGATCCATGTTCTGAAATTAGCTTTCTTGATGGTAGTCAATGCACTGGAACCACCTGACCAACCACCAAAAACCAACCCCATTGTCATATGACCTCCTCCTCCATGGCCGGAGTTTTGGCGGGGTAAGCCTGAAAAATTAAGTTCTTCAGCGAAATCCATAATTAAGTTATGATTCAACCGAACCGACCTTTCTACTTGGGGTAATCTTTTCCACCAAGAGGACAGGAAATCATCTTCAGACGGAGGAAAAACCAGTCCCCTAAGGTGCACGACTGTACCGCCACCACAATTGACAAAAACAGTAAGAAGGAACAATATTACACAACCATATAACTACACACCATCACTACAAAAGGAGGGAATAAACAAAAGAAAAGAAAAGAACCCCAGTGAATTGTCAAGCTTCTGTTATGTATGGCTGCCTGTAGTTGAAGGTAAGTAATCTATTAACAGTTAGAATTCACGAAGTTCTTAATCTCGTCCATGAGGCAATAGAAATGTTCATTGTTCGGCAAGAAGTAGAACCCAATCGTCGCTTGCTTTAGGTACAAGAGTTTTACCTCTTTCCCCGATTTTCCGAGTCCATCAACATAAGCTAATTGCCAATCCTGAGCAAGATCCAAGCCAGCCACAACAACAAGACTTTTTGGAAACTTTAGTCCTTCAAGACTTATGCCTCTGGGACCAAATATATTACACGCCGGATGGTCTCTATCGTCCCCTTCGGGTAGATATGCTCTCCAGTACCAATCTCTGTCTTGAACTGTCACAAAAATATTTACCATCCAATTTTTTCTCCGATTCCGTTCTGATTTCTCCGCCAAACATTGGATGAAGTAGTATATTGCCTAATACCTCAACTCCCGATTCAGCAGCCCTCACAGCAACATGATGAGCAATATTACCACCAGAACTATCTCCAGCCAAGTACGCATAAACTTTAGAATCTTTCCCACTCTGAAGCCATGATCTTGAGTGAACCCATTTAAGAGCTGCCCATCCATCATCATATGCACAAGGGTATCGGTGTTCGGGCGATCGCCGGTAATTCACAGACACCACAACAGCCTTGCAATTGCTAACAAGGCGACGGCAAAATGTATCGTAGATGGCACTATTGGCAGAGGAATGTGTAAAGCTTCCGCCATGGAAGAAAATTATGACGGGGACAATTTCAGTGGTGCTCAAGGGTTTTTCAAGCTCTACAATGCCCCATTGAGCCTCGTTTTCAGGGGCTGGCCTGTAAACACGGTTTAGAAGGCTTGTGGCTCGATCAACTACATCAAAAGAGTAAACCTTATCGACCGGAATCGTGTTGGCGGGGACTTTACGGTCGAGAAATTCGGCCAAATCTCGGTTGAATGTACCATCAGGTCGGCGAAGCATGTTGTAAGCTAGCTTGAAATTGGATATAAGGATCCATGTATTCAGTGGAACCACCCTCTACACAAAAGACATAGATACATGGGATAAGATAATTTGGAAAAATTGAAGCATACCCAGAACATAAATCAAAAAATAGTTGACAAAGAACCCCAAAATAACAGAATAGATAAGCAAACGATCATACAAGTGAGGCTCCAAAATTAGGACGAAAGAGACAATAAACAGGGTAATTAGCTTAAATAGAGATTTAAAGATAACTCCAACCCTCCAAATTCAAGAAACCTTCAGTCTTTTGCCCCAAATCAGACTTTATCTTCAAGTTTCTTGGACAGCAAACTCATACCAGTAACGGAAATATAAAAGGAGGAGAATTCAGGTAAACCCATAAACCAAATCATTACAGAATGTCCGAATTAATCTGGATATGGTCCATACATGTGCAAGAATTTTAGAAATATTAAGGAGAAGATGGCCAGAAAAGGATGAGAATAACACCTTGGATTCATTTACCCTAACTTCATTACTACCAGCCATGATCTATCTTCAAAGGTTTGGCCTTTCAAAACTTAAAAGGTCACACTGATCTTCAAAAAAATCAGTCTTTGATCACTCATAACGCTTCAGAGACGAGAAAGATCGAAGTCTGTGCTCTGTGTGGGCTTGTCTTTTGATTCTTCGTTGAAGGGTTGAACAAGAAGAGACACTCCGAAATATAAAACAGAAGACACCTAGACACAGAAGAAGATCTAAACACAACACAAAAGCGAGAGAGACAGAACCAAAGAACGAAATTAAGAGAAAGAGAGAGAAGGGAGGAGGAGGTATGATAAGACGAGGCTAGGGAGAGAGAGAGTGGAGAGAGAGAGAGAGAGAGAGAGAGAGAGAGAGGCGTGGAGTTAAACGCAAAGAACGACGGTGGTGGACGGAGACGAGAGAGACGACAAAGCAGGCGGCTGAATTAAACTGTTTAGTAGGTCCCACCATATATAATAAAACTCTAATTTTTATGTTTATTTTTTAACTCTAATTCTGCCATTGCTCTCCAATTGTTTCGATTAAATAATAAAAAGCTATTTACAGCTAAAGCCAAACCAACTTTAGTTAAGTCCATGAATTCACACCCACACCCACATCCACATTATTTTGTCTTTATATACAACTCTGTTTTTCACCCAACAGTAAATATCCAATATCACGCTTATACAAATTTTCTGTTTTTTACCCCCATAATGTTAGGCTCATAGGTTTTCATTGAAAAAATATCCTTATTACATAATAATAAAACATCACTAATAAATATATTGATATAATATTATAATTATATAAAGTTAAAATTTTAACTTATAAAAATATAACAGTCAAGATTTATTTAATTTTCATTTAAGTTGATTCAATTATATATAATTCATTCCAATTTTTTTTTTCACTTACAAATACTATGCACTCTGCATAACACCTAATGTCAAATAATTCAATTAACACACTCTTTAATACAGACAACCCCAATAATTCACATCTATTTATTTCTTATCTTCTCTCTATTCATTTTAAAATTATTAAAAATAAATATTACCTAATCAATACTTGATTTTTAGTATGAATAATATGGTGAACACCACCTAATGTGACACAATTAAATTTATTGAATATTTAATAAACTCTATAAAACCTATTAATTTAATGGTCAAAGGTCAATGTTAAGATGGTGGTGCAGAAAGATGATGTAAAAAAATTACGTGTATAACATTGTTGTTTTAATATTATGAAGTATTTTTATACACGAAAGTATTCCTAGTTTTCTATATGTATGCATAGATAATTATTGAATTATGGAGATTGTATACAAAAAAATATTTTACATGCATTATTATCTTGAACAGTTCTTCCTCGCAAATGTTAAGCAAAAGAAAACAAATGGTAACCACTTTCAAAGAAACAATGCAGCATGTTATTGTCCTCTTTTGGCTCTTTAGGTTTTCTCATTTTACATTGTCTAAGTTCTTTCTTTTTCCAATAAAGGAACCATCGTAAATAATATATAATCTATATATTTGAAAAATGATTGTTAATAGATGTCATGAACATCTATTAATACGGACGAATTATAAATCCTGACGTTCTAAATTTAAATTTTGACAATCTATTGAAGTTAGGTCATAAAGAATTTTATTATTCTTGAATACTTTAATCTCAGCGTAGATGGTATGTTTATGACCGAATTGAAAAGGGGATTAATCAAGGTACACGTCAACTGACCTAAGCATCCTGACCGTTGAAAAAAAAAAAAAAAAGAGATCATGAACATATGTGTTTATAAGTGTATTTTTGCAACCTGTGGGATTAATGAGCATATTTTGTTAAATTTCAAATAAGTGCCTGCTCTATTTAATCTATTGTTTTGTCCCTTATTATTGGAAAACAAAAAATATATATACGTATCTAAAGACTTTAACGTAAACTCAAAAATAACTAACTCATCACTAACTCATCAATTTTCATAACTAACTCGTTATATTCATAACTAACTCATTATTATCATTATATTCATAACTAACTCATCAATTTTGTTTTCTTAATCATTTTTTTATTAGTTAAACCAAATTGGCTTAATAATTCGATTATATTTTTCACAAGTTTTAGTCTAGAATTAAAAGATTAAGATATAAGTCATCAAATCTAAATGATGTAGATCATTATTATGTTGTGTTTGAGTATTATCTACACTACCACTAATTCAACCTCTTAGTGTTTGACATTAATGAGTATGTTAATTGAATTGTCCAACATCAAGAACAATGAAAAAAAATGATCTTTTTAGTAAAAAAAAATTGAGGATCAAATATCAAAGTGAATAAAGAGAAAATAAAAGAAATGTAGGAGAGAGAAAAGAGAGGGGTAAGTGTAGATTAGTGGAACTGTTTAATTTTTTTTTTTAGTTCAAAGATCAGGGGTGTCCGTTCTAATTTATGCGCATCTCAACTAATTTATTCTCCTATCATAATCTGACCTCAAGGAATAAATCTCTTATTAGTAGAGTTATTTAGCATCGAAAAGTATGTTAGTTGACTTGTATTACATTGAAATTGGTATAAAGAAAAATGAATTTTTGAGTGAGAAAAATATTTGGGATTAATATTGTGTTATTGAATTAAAATATTGGAATTAAATTTGTGTTATTGAATTAAAATAAATAAATATTATATTTTTATAAATTGAGAATTTAATTTATATTAAATAAATTATTATATCTCTAAATATATGTATAACAAATAATAACGAAAAAGGACGATAGTTTTCCAGCGTGCGGTGGACGCTAAGGCACGTAGCGACAAAAGGTTCCGTCCGACTCTTTTTTGCCAAACCCAAGACCCATAGACAAAAGTACCCTCACAACTCCACAAAACTCCAAAGAAGCCACGGGGACGACACGTGTTTTGTCATTTAGCGGAAAACGCGTGACGGCATGTTTTTTGTCGGAGTCTGGGAGTGCCGTTTCTTTGCTCTCTCTGCTTTGTGTGGGCTTTGGATTTTGTCGTTCTCGACGGTTGTATTTATGATCCTATCCGCCAGTCCACATACACGTGTCAGTCAGGCTGAACACCCCCTCCTATTGGCTCCACACCCACCTGTCCCGTAATTGCTTCGCCTCTTGGTTGATACGATGATCACTCTTTTGCGGGCCCAGATGCTCCGAGCTTTTGAAACGTGTTTTCGAAATTGTACTGATGCATTATACTTTCTTGCCACGTATAGTGAGTGGGACCCTAAGCCGCAACAAAATACTGGGATGATCACCCCTCATGATATTTTCATATTAACACATGAACCCTTCAATACCTACGAAGTTCCAAGGAGAAGACTTTCTGCAAATGTTTAATAAGAGTTTGATATGTCATTCATTCCCCAGCCAAACTAAGTAAAAAAAATAACAATATAAAACCCGCGTTGTTGGTTAAGGTTATGAATTAAAATTTTGTCATCCCTTTTTCTTATAATAATTATGTCTAACCAAAAAAAAAAATCAATATAACCAAATTAATATAATAGACTAACAATCCCTCCTCATCTTTTTTGTTCTTTTTTCCGTTTGTCACACTCGAGCATACAAACCCACAATAAAATCATCACGACTCTTACTATCATTATTATCACTCATCATCAAATCACAACATAAAATATTAAATGCAAGGGAAAAGGATTGCAAAAGAGATCATAAGGTTTAATCGCCAAAATTGGGGCCCAAAGTCTTTTGATTGAAAATAAAATTTAATTTTGATAAAGAAAAATAATAAAATTGGGATGATCTACTTTAAGAGCATATTTGGTATATGAGTTTAGATGAGATTTAAAGGATGAATTTTATGAAAATAGTCCAATACAAATTTTAAACTTGTATTTGGTTTAAGTTTTGAGGCTTAGAATTGATGAGGAAAATGAATCCCGACCTGTAATCAATTTGTAGTGAATAATTGATTAAAACTCACAAATGAAAGTTTGATGAAACCCATGAGAGGGTGAGTGGGTTTCAAAAGGAAGAGTTGGATTTATTTATGAAAATACTATTTTACCCCAAAAAAATATTCTTTTATTGACCTAATAATAGACATTTTAGTAAAGTGAACAATATCATGTATTTGTGTCACATACCAAATTTGAGATTAATTTTTTTTAATATCACATGCAAATCCTTAGGACTAAATTTGAGAAAGTTTTATAAATTTAATCTAAACCTCCCAAAAAATAAACATCTAAACAAGTTCCAATGGTTAGGACTCAAACCCTGTTGCCGTAGATACTTCAATCATAAAAATCCCTTTTAACCCTCCGGTGCCAAAACTAGGTTTCTCTCGTATTTTTCCAAAAATGAAAATATGGTGAAAAGTGAAGAAAGCAAAAAAGCGGAGAAAAAGTGGAGGAAGCTTTATTCAACACATGCCTAACCGTACTTGCAGCTAATCGGGACCATTTTTGTCAAGTCCAAAAAAAAATGTCAAGAGAATATAATTATCATCACATTCTCAAGACGTGCAATCTCTTTTAATTGGCCACGCAACTCTTATTCTATACCCTACCATTCTATGTTCCCACCTCATCTCGCTACTTTCTCATTGGGGGATTGGTTTGTGGTGTTTAATTTGAAGTTTCGAATGTGTTCCACCACAGAGTGATTATAGTTATGACAGTGATGATACCCAAAAATAATATCAAGAATAAGGAGGAGGATATTTACCTAATTTATGAAAAGAACAATGATCAAAGTATGTTTTTTGACTTCCAGTTGCACATCCAGCCTCAAGAGGAGGAAGTGTCAAGGTACAACATCAAATACAAACAAGTCGATTGTCCATCTTATACCACAAGTAGAATTTTCATTCTTAATTCAGGTTAAGTATTTGGATCAAACTCTTTTATTCACGAGTTGCAAAAGGTATAAGAGGTCATTCCAAACTGAATAACCTCCTAGCATAATCTTTTGCAAGATATGGAAGACAATAATATATCTATGCTTGAACACAAATTCCAGTATCACCTCAACATGTTCTAAAAGACTACATTATGTCTAGGAAATATAGTCTCTAACCATAAAATATTCCCTTAATAAAATCCTAACAAACTTGAAAATCATATAATGATTGTGTGAGAGAACCACCTGGCTCGTAAGTATAAATACAAGAGGCATGCCCTTTGTTAGAGTATGTGTGGCTCATATTTGCTGTGTGTATAATGGCAAAGAGGCAGATGTCAGAGCGGAGCCCGTGACGG